CAGCATTGCCATAATCTCACTGCAGCCTGTGGACCCAGAACTGCCACAATCTCACTGCAACCTGTGCACCCAGCACTGCAAACCCCACTGCAATGTGTGCACCCAGCACTGCCCCAACCCCACTGCAGTGTGTGCACTCAGCACTGTCCCTATCTCACTGCAGCCTGTGCACCCAGCACTACCTGTGTTACTATGAGACTTAAGCGATCTCATATTTAAATTTTTGTCTCACCTCTGAAAACTGTTATCAGAGATGGTTAGCAGATACATTGTTGCTGCACAGCTGATAGCTTATAGCCCAAGAGTACCAGGCAGATCTACTGGTGTAGTCAGCAGTACTTACTTTGAGATGTCCTTGTTGCCTCGTTGCCATGGTGACATCAAATTCCCTATGGCAGCCCGGTAGCAGTAGACACCCAGCAGGCCAAGTGCCAGGGCCACCTTGGACATGGGTGAGCACCTCCTCTGGACCAGCAGGAAGACGGTAAGGAGTGAGAGGGCAGCCAGGATAGACAGGGCGGCTTGGTGGTCAGAGCTGAAAGGGGATGGAGAGGCCCAGTGAGCAGCAGGGCTGTTGGACTCACACCAGGAGTTTCCTAAGACAGATCAGAAACAGCAGACTTTCTTGGGGATAAAATAACCACACCACCTCTGGTTACTTAAGTCAGACCAATGATCTCCCTGTATCTCCTTGCTAGTTTAGATGGCTCATTCGTACCCTGACAGGACACTGTTTGACACAGACCCTTCTTCCTGCTGAGGATCTGTGCAGAACTACACCTTCTACACATAAACTACATGCCCTGAGGCCAGTACCACTCATTCAAAGTGGCCACTGCTCCTCCTAGAAGTGGATGACAGAACAGCTTCCACAGGTCCAGCTAGAACTCCTCCCTAGGGGTCTACTTTCCCCCATGTCCACTCAGCCAGAACATCCCCACATCCCCTCAGCTAGGACCCCTTCCCATGGGCCCGGTGGTCTACCCTCCCCCATTCCCCATAGACTCAGCCAGGACCTCTCCGCATTTGGTCTGTCTTCCCCCAGCTCTACTCAGTCAAGATTTCGCCATAGCCCAAGTGGCCTACGCTCTACCACTCAGCTAGGACCTCTCCCCATAGTCCCTGTAGTCTACCCTCCTCTATGTCCACTCAGCTAAGACCCCTCCTCACAAGTTGTGGTCTGTCCTCCCCTATAACCCACAGGCTCAGCCAGGCCCTCCACACTGCCATGTACCAGCCCCTCACCCCCTTTCCTCCCTTTGCCACTTGCTGCTCTAGCCCACGTTGTCCCTACTACCAGTGCTTTTCCTGCCATGTCTGCAGAAGACACTGACTCTGAAGGACCTGCCATCCTGGCAGGAGATGTGGCCCCAGAGCAATTTTAGGGGTAAAACAGTGGCAGCTCTCCTGCTGGGAGGGCATCTCCCAGGAAAAGGGCACAAACGGCATGGGAGGGTCAGCAAGACGGGTCTGTGCTGGGCTCTGGCACACCATGCATCCGGGGGGGTGCAGACAACTCTCCTCTAAGGTAGATTCTCAACAGGAAGAGCAGCGACTCTATAAGCCTCACGACCTCACAGCCCTATGCTCTGGACCCTCCTCAAAGGCTCAACTTCGTGACCAGTGCTGTGTCCACCAGTATCCACCATCCCTCTCCCCAGGGGCTGAGCATAGTGACCAGGGAGTGCAGTGTCCACTAATGCCACCTCCACTGGGACCGAGGCTCAGCATGGTGGCCAGTGCTGTGACAACCAGTGCTCACTCCACTGGGGCTGAGTCCATCAGTGCCTCCACCTCACCCTCTTAGGGCTGAGTCTCAGTGTGGTACCCAACGGTGCCTGACCCTCTTCTCTCTATACCTCTGCCTTGAGAATCACCGTGAAAAAGCCAGATGTTCATGGCCAGTGAACAGCATGTCTAACCCTTGTCCTATGCTGGGGCCATGATGGATCTTACAACATGGACAAGAGTGAGAAGTCAAGCTGGTTTCTTGAGTTGCTTCCTCAGGGCTAAGAAGCTGTGGCCAGAGGAAGGAAGAATGGTCAGGCCTGTCCCCAGTACACACTGGTCTCTGTCCTCCTGTGTGTCACCCACAGAGGCTGCCCATTTGTTCTGTCCCCATTATGCTCATCGTGGGTGAGGGACTGGAAGGATGAGGTAGAAATTCCCATAGGCTGCCCATCCTGCTCTGCCTCCACAACGTATACTTTGAGTGATGAGAGGGGAGAAACTGCCTGCCCTGTTCTGTCCTCACACTGTCCATCTTGGGTGAGGAGATGGAAGATTAAGGTAGAACATTCCATGGACCACTCCCTCTATCCTGCTCCTCAGTTTGCACTGCTCACCTAACTGCTAGTCTTCCAGCTCCTGGTCTGTCTCTAAGGTGACTGGGACAGATCAACTATGTAGCAGCTGGCTCCTTCACATTCCTTGGCACCGTCACCCTGAAATATCCCAACTGAGAACGTGAGGGAGTCGGGCATTTCTGCCAGTCCCCTCAACCTAGGAGGTGGCCATCTACCATGCATGAAGCTGGAGGTGGCACCACAGGGCAACATGGTGACATGCAGGTGACTCGGTGACACAGAAACATGATTTCACACAGGATAATGCAGTGATACACAGGGGTCATGGTGATAAGCAAGTTAACAGGGACACCCCACGACATGCGAGGTAATATGGTGACACAGTGACATGGTTAGACACAGATACACACTGTGAGGTGCTGACTGTCACAAAGTGACAGTAACACAAGACATCGTGACATTGTGATGAGGTGACAGGGTAACAGGATCACACAAATGGTGATGCAGTGACAGTGACACTGACGGATAGGGCCCAGGCCGCTCTGAGCTTGGCCTCTATCTTGGGGACTCTGCAACCCCATCAGGCTCTAGATGAACCCACCACTCACCGCAGTATACTAGCTGTCATGCTTCTCTGGCTCCGGGTTCAAATACGATGCTATCCTAACTGAAAAAGTCCGAAACCTAGATAAAGAGACTGCCCTCAACATACCCACACAGTCCTCACCTGGTTAGCCAGTGTCCCAGGTCAGGTCGGTGGGCCCCCTGAACACCTGTCTGATTCAGGGACCTCAGAAGCCGACAACAGCACAGCACTGCCCAGGGGCTGGCCAGCACCATCCTTCGCTCCACACTGCCCAGCTGTCTGAAGGCGGAGGCAGTCTTGTGAGTCCTGTCAGCCTCCAGCATGGCACAGCCCTCTGCCTTGTCCTGCAGCACCAGTGCGTCCCCCTTGGGCCCAAGCTCCACGTGCAGGCTACACTGTGGGTCCCCGTCGCTGCTAAGTAGGTGGTTTCTGCAGACCTCCTGACACAGTGCCAGGCACAGGGTGCTGACGAGGAAGTACCAGGTCTGGTGCTCTTCCTCAATGAAGCTGCTCGCACCCAGGCTCAGGACATGGCCCGCAGTCCCCAGCAGGATGAGGAGGTCCAGCTCTGACCACTTTGAGTTTGAAGAAGCAAGGTTCTGTGAAGAGGAAACGCATTGTGAACGAGGTCTGGGCACGACACAATCTACTCTGCTCATCCTATGCCCAGTGCCTCCTAGCTCTGCTTTAGGGGATCTTCTCTTCTCCAGACACAGTGCGAGGGATTCTCAATTCACATCCAACATCAGGCCAGGGGGGAAATTTGGGCTTGTATCCAGGAATCAAAGTTTTTATCAGATTGGCAAAGTAACTGACAGCAGCAAGAGACTATACCTAAATGGTAAGAAATTCATCTTCAGAGACTACCTCCATCATTAAAGAGACCATGACCATGAACAGAGCAACAACTGTCATCATGAGAAATCATCTAGAGTCATCAGAAAAACCACTTCCATCAGAGAGCTTTAGAAACTACCCATCATCAAATATTACCTAATCGTTAGAAAGATATCCACTATCAGAGACCATCCCATTCTTGCAGAGATCACCTCCATCCTCTGACAGCATCCCCACTGAGACACCTCCATCCTCATAGATAACTGCAAGTCATCACAAAGCCCACATCCATCAACAGAGACTGCTAAAGTCATCAGAGTGACTCTTCACTGAGAATAGCTCCATCATTATAGAGATCCCCTCACCAGGGACCACACCTTCCATCCTCAGAGAGACCACAGTAAGTTCCAGAGGCTTGTTACTCCATGAACCTGACCTCTATGATCCCTAGCACTGGACCTACCTGACCTTGTCAGTCTTTGCCTGAAGAAACTCAGGCAGGTAATGTGATGACAAAACCCCAAATTCTGGTATCAAGAAACAGGGGGTGGGGCAGGGGGAGGTACACACATGTAGTTGCTGTATTTGTTAACACCATGTCTCCTGGTCCATGATCTGTGAGCTCCAGTGCCTGGAACACTGGGGCATGGAGGTGAGAGGATGTGGACATACCTGCACAGATAGCAATGTTTTCCCTCAGGACCTTACCTTCCCTGCATGCTTCATGCTGACCCCTGTCTTTGTGAGTGCAGACATGATCGCACAGAGCAGTGCAGATATCAACAGCATGGCACCGCCTGCCACCAGCCAGGACACACTACAGAAGTAACAGCTGCTCTCAGCTGAGGTGCACACGACGACATGTACGGCTGAGAGGACTAAGAGCATCAGGTAGAAGAGCAGGGAAAACAGTGGCGATGACAGTGGTACATCCAGCTCAGCTGCTGGGCCAAGTGCCTTTGGGACACTGAGCAGGAGCAAGGTGAGGACCTGTACAGAGAGACCACAGGTACATCCACAGACCTGGTCAGGAGGCACCTACTGCAGAGCAAGCCACATACTTGATCTTCCAACAGCTGCTCCAACAGTAAAGCCCAATAAGGTTCTTAACCCTGATTGCCAATAGCCCCCACGAAGGTGTGGAATGACCTGAGTGAGGCCACATGGCACCCTTCTGTGAAGTAAAGTTCAGCAAATGAGGAACTGCATTTCACATGTTTAGTAATACTGCACAAATCTTAAATAGCAGTGTCTAGGTTGTGACCCAATCCAGACCCAAGCCTTGGCTATCTAACCCATTTATCCTATTCAATCCAGAGCAGCATCTTGACCTAGCTCTGACTCAGTCTAGAGCTGAGCCTTGGCTGTGATGCTGACCCAATCAAGAGCTGAGCTTCCTACTTAATCCAGAGCTGAGACCTGGTTGTGATTCTGACTGAATTGAAAGTGCAATCTAGCTGAAATTCTGACCCAACTGAGAGCTGAGCCTTACCTCCAGCACTAGTGTGGTCCCTACCGCCATCGAGTAGATGTCGTAATGTGCCACTTGTCTGCTCAGAGATAGGCTCAGGATCTGCAGGGCATCCAGGTACTGCCTGAGGACCTTTGTGCCGAGATTCAAAAGGACTTCTGAGTTATTTTCCTCCAAGTAGAGTCTGACCCAATTCCCATGCATCTTTTCTGACATTTTAAACTGTTCAAATCCAGGATCTAACAAAGAACAAAAAAAGTGACAGACAGACAATCTTATGTATATAGAGAATAGAACGACATACAGACATAACTTCACAATACTTAGATGCTATTTTCTCCTGGCAGATGGCAAAACTTCATCTTTAAGAACTGACAACTGATAAAGACGAAGTGCTCTTTAGCGAGACCAGCAGCTTCATTTACAAAGCTGTACACGCTGAGAACACTTTTGCTGTCATTCGCTTGCCTATCACCCGCCTTTGTGGAACTTATCATTTCAGAGTAAGGACAAAAAGCAAACAAATGAGGAAAAGTCTAAAACATCTGTGTTATGGAGAAAAGCCACCCAGGGTTTTTCTAAAGAAATAATATCTAAGCAAAGACCCCAAGATTTGTCTTAGCGCTCTCTTGTTATTAAGAGTCACCGAGTCAAGTACGACTCAGAGCTACCCTGTGAACAACAGATCTGAACCCTGTCCTATCCTGTGCCAGCCTCACAGTCTCTGACACATTCAATCCCATTGCTCATGTGGATGAGGGTCTTTCTCTCCTTCACTGTCCTTCTCCAAGGAATAGCCTCTCCAAGAAACATGCCCAAAGTATGTGAAACAAAGTTTCATCATCTTTGCCTCCAAGGAGTACTATGACTGCACCTTCTCCAAGACATATCGGTTTGGACTTTTGGCAGGATCTTCAGCATTATTCTCCAACATCATAGTTCAAAGGCACCAATTCTTCTGTCATCTCAGCAGCATAGCAAGTGACTGAAAAGACCATGGTCTGAACCTAGCACACCTTAGTCTTCAAACTAACATCCCTGCTCAATTATTTAGAGACATCCCTGACTGCAGACTTTCCCAGTGAAGTATGTCTCATGATCTCCTGATTGCTGATACTAGTATTTTGATTGTGGATCCAAGTTAAGATGAAGACATTGACAGTTTTAATCTTTTCTCCATCACGATGCTATCTATTGGACCAGTGGTGAGGTTTTTTGTTTTCTTAACACTTGGGATGCAATAAATATTGAAGGCTGCAGTGCTTGATCTTCTGCAGCAAATGCTTCAAGTCCTTCTAATTCTGATGTCACATGCCTCTTCATTAAGTCCAGGTTCCCGAATAATTTGCTCAGCATACAGACTGAGTAGGTATGGAGAAAGGATACAGCCCTGAAGCACACCTTTCTTAGTGTGGCTGTAACAGACAGCGTATGAGTACAGCTTTTATTGAGGAGGCTAGATGTCTGTTCAGTGTGCTAGCTCAAGGGAAGACTCTCTTGCTGTTGGCTCAGGAAGGAGGTCCTCGGCTTCTGCTTCTGATCCTTGTAGATCTCTCTACAACTTGGCATCTTTTTTTTTTTTAAAAAAAATTTTCTTTTATTTCATTATTTTTTGTGTGTACCGTCAAATCAGATCTGACTGATACAGGAGGAGATTGTTCCTCCTTCTCCAGCAGAGCATCTGGTGGATTCAAACCGTGTACCTCTGAGATTGCAGTGCAGCTTCTAGCCATTAGGTCACCAGAGCTCGCTGACTTGGCATCTATCTTAACCCATTTCTCTTTACTGATAAAGACACTGATTCAAAGCAAACACTACACTAATTCCACCTCATTAACATAACAAAACCAAGACAGCTCATTAACAAATGCGATTATAAACTGTAATATGGGACTATTGTTCACAGTTACTTTCCTAGGCAATTGCCCTTAAATTTGCCACAAATTCAAAGCTGGCCAAGAACATGCCAATAGGTATGTTAGTTTATCCCGCAGAAGACTGGCTAGTTTTATAATTCCACCATGTTTAAATTGGGCAGATTCAGCAGAACATTAGAGGAGTTGGAGCTACCAGCAAAAAGTGGGAGCTCTGGTGACTTAGTGGTAGGACGCTGTGCTGGAATCCCAAAGGCATGCGGTTTGAATCCACCAGTTGCTCCATGGGAGAAAGATGAGGAGAAGGATGAACAATTTCCCCTTGTGTAAATAAACTGCCTCTCAAAACCCACGACGGGTCGATTCTGGCTCTACAGCAAATGACACCAACCAGAAAGAAAGTAGGGAATGCAGTGTATGTGCTTTGTGGCCAAAAATGCTTGGACCAGTCAGACTGGAGCCTACAAGAGAGCACCAGTAGCCTAGAACCAATGAGTGGAGATGGGATGAATGAAGGGGAGTGGGGGAAAGACATGATTTAATTGGCAGAACTAAGAGAGACTTGCAACGTTGGCCTAAAGCCACAAGGTTGAAGGACCAGCCAGCATGCTTTAGTCCTGAGAAACTGAAGCCTGTGTGCCAACTTGAGTTGTAACCCATTAACCTCCCTAATAAAGCCTGTATTTGAGAGTATGGTTCTGTGAGGTCCGTGGAGCTATTGCAAAGGATTTCAGATCCAGCAGAAAAGTAGGAATGGTGCTGGAATAAGTGGAGATAGGCTGGGGAGTATGGGGTACATGTGTGACCTTATGGGAATTGGTTGGTGTTGTGAATGCTCTTGATGGGAGCAGTTTTCTCTTGTGGAGTTAGCAAAGGTCAGATACAGATGTCTCTATGCTGCCCTGGTCTAGACAGAGGTTTCACATGAGCAAAATGAGGTGTTCTGGGATTTCCATTCTTCTCAATGTTAGCTACAATCTGTTGTGATCTACAGTCAAAAGCCTTTGCATAGTTAGTAAAACACACATCCTTCTGGTACTCCCTGCTTTCAGCCAAGATCCATGTGACACTGACAATGTGTTTTTTCTAAACCCATCTCCTTTTTCCAGAAGTTCTGTGGAGGTAGATGGCTAGCAATTTTTGGATAATCTCCAACAAGATTATGTTCCCATGTGATATGGTTCAATAATGTCCACATTCTGTTGGATCATCTTTTTTGGGAATGGGACAAAATATGAATCTCTTTCAGTTAGATAGCCAGGTAGTTGTCCTCCAAATTTCTTGGCACAACCAGGGCTGCATCTGTTTGCTGATACATGTTAACTGGGATTGTACCAGCTCCTGGGGTCTTACTTTTTGCCAACTCCTTCAGAGCAGCTTGGACTTCCTCCTGCGTTGTTACTGCTTCTTGATCTTATGTTATTTTATGAATTTGTTCCATGTTAGACAACTCTTTTTGGTACAGTGACTCTCTGTATTCCTTCCACCTCACTCTGCTTTCTGGATCATTTAATATTCTGCCCATAGCACCTTTAAGTATTGCAACCAGAGGCTTGAATTTGTTCTTCAGCTCTTTCAGCTTGAGAAATGTCGAGTGTGTTTGTGTTTTTTGATTTTCTGACTCTAGCACTTTGCACATTTCATTATAATGCTTTGTCTTCTGAAATTTTTTGTTCTGTTTCATAACTTGCTGATTTCTTCCTTGTTTTGGCATTTTGGCATTCTAGTGCAATATGAAGAGTCTCTTCTAACATCCATTTTGGTCTTTTCTTCCTCCTCTGTCTTTGTAATGACTTTTTGTATTCTTCATTGATGATATCCTTGATATCATCCAACAGCTCATCTGGTCTTTGTTCATTAGTGTCCAAACCCTCAAACCTGTACGCGAGATGGTTTCAATTCAGGTGGGTTGGACTCAAGGTCATATTTTTTGCTCTTGTGGATTTAGTTATATTTTCATTAGCTTCAATTTGAATGTGAACCTGAGTAGCTGATGGTTCATTCCAGAGTCAGTACTTGGTCTAATTTTCACAGTTGATTCTGAGATTCTCCAACAATTCTTTCCAGAATTACATCTCTTACCTCCTAGGGGCCAATATCCTCCACCTACAGAATCTATGGGTACATGGCGCTGGTAACTGCATCAGGCCTGGAGGTATGCACTGGAAGGAGTACCCAGAAAGAAGCATGTCAGGAGACAAGCAGGAAGCTGTCCTATGAACAGAGCAAGGGAACACTGCATGGTTCAAAATAAAAAAAGGGTTAGGGTTAGGGTATCCTTTCTCCATACCTTTTCAATCTATATGCAGAACAGATCATTTGGGAGAATGGGCTTTATGAAGAAAGATGTGACATCAGGGTTAGAGGAAGAATCATCAACAATCTGCATTGTGCAGTTGACACAACCTTGGTTGCCGAAACTGAGAAGCACTTGAATGAAGCATTTGCTGCATAAGATCAAGGACTGCAGTCTTCAAAATGGATTGCATTTCAACATCAAGAAAACAAAGATTCTCACTAATGGGCCAGTGGGCAGCATCATGATAGACTGAGAAAAGACTGAGGTTGCTAACAACTTCATCTTGCTCAGATCTACAATCAACACTTCTGGCACCAGCAGTCAGGAAATCAAAAGATGAGTTGCCATAGGAAAGGTGCTTTCAGAAATTGCTCTCAATTGCTAAGGAGTAATAAAGTCAGTCGAGAGACTAAGGTGTGTCCAATCCAGGACATGGTCTTTTTAATTGCCTGCTATGCATCGGAGAACTGGATAATGACTAAGGATGACAGGTGAAGAATCCATGCCTTTGAACTGTGATGCCAGAGAAGAGTACTGAATATACTATGGACTGCCAAGACAACAGGTCTGTCCTAGAGAGGCTGAAACCAAGTTGCTCCTTGGAGGCAAGGATTTCAAAACTCCATCTCACATACTCTGGGCATGCTGCTGGGAGGAACTAGTCTTTGGAGTAGGACATTATGCTTGGAAAGGCAGAGAGTCAGCACAGGAGAGGAAGACCGTGGATAAGAAGGATGGATACAGTGACTATGGCAATGGGGGCAGGTATGTCAGGGATCAGCATAGGGCAGGGTTCAGAGTTATTGTTCATAGGATCACTATGAGTCATCGTTGACTAGATCACACATGACAATATGCTACTCTTGCTCTTTTTACATAAACACAGGCATAAAGGTTAGGATTTAGAACATCTGTTTTGTGGAGAAGAGTGTCATGTGTGGAAAGGTGGAGGACTGACACAGGACAGGAAGATTCTTAACAAGATAGACTGACATGATGACCACAGCAATGAAATCAAGTATTATCAGAGATGGTTAGGATGGCACAAAGTAGGGCGAGGTTCAGATTCACTGTTCATATGGTGGCTATGAGTTGTAGGTGACTCGACAGCACCCAAGAACAACAACATTCTGGGGGAATATTATCCCATGTATAATAGTTTCATAGTTTTCTCAAGTATTTGGAAAGTTGTTTTATTTAAAATCAACAAAAAAACCCCAATATTTTTCCCACTTTCAGTAAATATATATTGTTAGTGGAACACACAGACACCCAACAGCTTCACATATAATTCAGAAGTTTCAGGAATGAAAAGGTTCACTAGGACACAGAGCCTTACTCAGGTCCAAGGGAAAAGGGTTTTCTAGTGGAAAAATTCAGCTTCAGTGAGGACATCAAGTATGAGTGTGAAATGATATCAGCCACAGCTAGAAAGGGGGGATCTGGGAACCATTCTCAAAAAAGGTCAAGAGCCCCAGGGGTAGAGGTGTGTCGTCTTCTTCAATTCATGGGATTAAATGAGAATGAAAAAAAATGACTCCTTTCTGTGCCATATCAAAGGGATGGAGACTTCCTGAAAGAAGTAAAGATAATTAACTATCCCAAGAGAAGGGAGGAGGAGGAAGGGTAAGAAGAGGGAAAAGGAGGGAGGAGAGGAGGTGAGAAGAGGAGGGGAGACAGCAGGAAGTGTATGCAAGAATGTCATTCAGATAAAGCCATGTGCAGCTAAGCGTGACTGTTCTGGTTCCGTGAGAACAGGATGAGACCTGTGATGAGGACAGGACTTCAGCAGTGCTTTCTACACACACGGACACGCGTGCACACGCACACACAGAAACTCCACACTGTTCAGAAGAAATATCAAGCCTGAGCAGAAGTCAAACGTCAACAGATTTACCTTTTTCATACAGTGGTACATTCTCTTGCAACAACTTGCTAAGCTGCACCGTATTTAAATGTAAAAATCTTAGCTGTTCTCGCATTGGTTTTCCTTCCACAATTGGAAATAAAAGTCGTCCCACACTGTTCTTTGGAATTGGCAAGCCCAGTGCTATGGCCAGTGTAGCTGCTAGATCAGTCTGCTGGACATGCCTGGGACGTCTGATGTCACCTAAAAGAAAGAGAACAGGGTGTTAGGTGGGAGCTTCTAGAAAGCGTCAGATTGGTCACTCAGGACTTGGAGCTTCTAGGACAAATTCAAGTCTAATCACTCCTCTCTCCAAACCAAGTGGGATAGACTTGTCTAGGAGAGAAGCACTTCCTGTTTTCATCTGTGTCCATTTACAGAATACCCATTCTACATCTGTCACAGTGCTGTTCCTGAAGAAGCCTGTTTCTTTGTTCTGGAGAGACTAAAGCACGACCTTCAGTGTTCATTCTGCTTAGGGGATGGGGTATGGCCAGAAGTTGTGAGGAAAAGTCCTTCTGTAGGGGTATAAAGGGAGTGTGGACATGTGGTATGCTGGTCTCTCTTGGTGCTGTGCAATCCAAGTGTTGCTTTGTCCATATACATACAAATAACCTGAATGCACTCCATTCTCAGGGGCTCCTGGCCAGCAAAAGGTATGACCAAGTTCAATGGGGGCAGTTTCTCTAACCGATGTTGACAGATAGCCCTCTCAATGGTCCGGCGAAGCTGGCAGGATGCTGTGGCAGGGTCCCTGGGCACTGGTCTAGAGGAAAATCTCAGGTTTTCACCCTGTGTAGAGATAAGCAGGAACAGGGCAAGAGTTCTCACAGGAATGAAGGGGGAGTGTGGGCTATTTCCAAAAGGGCAAGTAGCTAACCCATTCTCCAGCACTAGAGCAGACCTTACTTTGTGGTAGTTTTTGATAGCGTAGGAGAGTCCTTTTACATTTGGCCAAATTTACTAACCTTCCCTGGTCAGACCTTCAGTAATGGCTCTGGGCTACTAGTTATGATTGTTACAGTGTTATTGTTATGTGTCTTCGAGTTGCCTTCAACTCATAGAGACCCTATGCACAACAGCTCTGAACCCTGACCTATCCTGAGCCAGTCTCACTGTCTCCAACACACCTACTCCCAATACCTTACTGTGTCAATCCATCTCTTGCAGGGTCTTCCACCTCTGTGCTGCCCCCCCCACCCTTCCAAGCATGATGTTCCTCTGCAAGGACTGGTCCTTCCTGGCCATGTGACCAAAGTTTGTGAGATGGCACTTCAAAATCCTTGGCTCCAAGGAGCAGCTTGGTTTCACCCTCTCCAGGCTAGATCTGTTTGTTCTTTTGGAGATCCATGGTATATATGTTCCTTACTGTTCTATAGCATCACAACTCAAAAGAGTCAATTCTTCTGTTATCCTCAGTCAGCTATCTGATGCAGAGTAAGTGACTGTGAAGACCATGGCCTGGATCAGTTGCAACTCACTCCCGAGACTCACATCACCACTCTTTAGCACTTGGAAAGGTCCCTGACAGCAGAATTTTCCAATGCAATTCATCTTTTGATTTCCTTACTGTTGGTGCCAAGACTGTTGATTTTGGATCTAAGCAAGCTGAAATTGTTAACAATCTTACTCTCTTTTCCACCTATCACGGTGCTGCCAAGTGGCCCAGTGGTAATCTGTCTTCTTGATGTTGAGTTGTAATCCATATTGAAGACTACAGTCTTTGACTTTCTGCTGCAAATGTTTTGGGTCGTTCTGAATTTCGGAAAGCAAGGTTATATCATCTGCGTAACGCAGGTTGTTGAGTCTTCCTCCAATCCTGATGCCACATTCCTCCTCATAAAGCCTAGCTTACTAAATGATGTGTTCTGCATATAGAGAGGAAAGGTGTGGAACGAGGACGCATCCCTGATGCACTCCTTTCCTGATTTTGAACCATGTAGTGTCCTTGCTCTATTCTGACAACTGCTTTTTGGTTCAAGTACAGGTTTTGCATGAGCACAATCAAGTGTTCTGGGATTCCCATTCTTCTCAAAGTTAGACACAATTTGTTGTGGCCCACAGTCAAATGCCTTTGCATAGTCAATGAAACAGACAGACATTCCTCTGCTAATCTTTGCTTTCAACCAAGATCCATCTGACATTGGTGACAAAAGTGTCTAATGCCATGGCTTCTTCTTAACCTGGCTTGTATTTCTGATAGTTCTCTTTCAATGTACTGTTCCTGACATTTGTTTTTAGAATCTTTAGCAGGATTTTGCTCGTGTATGATACTGGTGCTATTGTTTGATGTTTGATAATATCCACATTATACTGGGTCACCTTTTTTATGTAATAGGAATATAGATCTCTTCCAGTCAGATGGCCAAGTAATTTTCCGCCAGATTTCTTGGCACAAGCTGGTAAGCATGTCCAGGACAGCATATGTGTGTGGAAAAATGTCAACTGATACGCCATTAATTCCTGAGGTCTTGTTTTTGCCAATTTCTTCAGAATAGCTTGAATTTCCTCCTTTATCACCACTGCCCCTTGGTCATACATTGTTTCATCAAACACTTCTGTGTCAGTCAACTCTTTATGGCCCAGGGACTCTGTGTACTCCTTCCATCATTTTCTTCTTTTTTTTTTTTAATTTACTACTTTTTATTAGGTAAGAGTTGTTACATACTCTTAAGCATATTCTAACTTCCATGGCCCCTGGCCTGCTCTTCTTTTGATGCTTCCTGGATCATTCATTATTCTGCTCAAAGCGTCTGTTAAGTATTGCAATGTGCAGTTGGAATTTGTTCTGTAGTTCCTTCAGCTTAAGAAATGCCAAGCTAGTTCAGCCCTACTTATTTTCTGTCTGCAGCTCTTTACACATTTCACAACACTTTACTTTGTCTTCTCGAGCTGCCCTTTTAAATCTTCTGTTCAGCTCCTGAACTTCTTGCCCTTTCCCCTTTGCTATGGCTTCTTGGCACTATAGTGCAATATTCAGTCTCTTCTGACATCCACCTCAGTTTTGTCGTCTTCTTCCATTTTCATAATGACCTTTTACATTCTTTATGGATGATATTTTTTATATCCTCCAACAGCTCACTTAGTATGCATTTATTAGTTTCAAAGCCCCAAACCTGCTCCTGAGATGGTTTTTAAATTCAAGAGGGAAAGACTGAAGGTTTAATTTTGGTTCCTGTGGGTTTAACTTTCTTTAGCTTAATTTGAACTTCCATATGAGTGGTTGATGGTCTGTTCCACAATCAACACCTGGTCTAATTTTCAGTTACACTTAGAGAGGCCTTTTCCATTCCAATGTTACTGTCTGTATTTTCTTCTCAAATTTCTGTATTTTCTTACTGAAGTGTTTCTTAAGGGAGCTCTGGTTGCCTAGTGGATAAGGAATTATGTTGCCAACTGAAACAGTTAAAACTGATTAGCTGCTCCTTGGGAGAAAGATGGGCAATCTTTTCCCATGCTATTTTCAACCTTTGAAAACCAGGTGAAAGGTCAGTTTAATTTGTTTGAATGAGATGGTACCTAGTAACAGCAAGAGTTATCTACACGGGACTACTTAGGGAGCTCTGGTGGCTTAGTGATAAGGAACTGTACTGCCACCCTGCCAGCAGCTCTGTGAAAAGAGATGGGCAATTTCCTTGCATGTGAATGACTGCAGCTGAAAAACTGCTGGAGCATCAACTATGAGTCTGTTCCAGCTCAATAGTACACACAACAACAACCTTAAACTACTCCTGTATTTACATTGTCTATTATGGGTGACTGGAATGCGGAAGTTGGGAACCAGGAAGAAGGATCAGTAGTTGGAAAATATGGACTTGGAGAGAGATATGAGGCTGGGAATAGAATGATAGAATTTTGCACAATCAATGATTTATTTATAAATACCTTCTATAAGAAACATAAACACAGGCTATACACATGGGTTTCACCTGATGGTATTTACAGGAATCAGACAGATTACATCTGTGGAAGGAATATTGGAGAAGATCAATATCAGCAGTGAAAACTAGGCCATGTGCTCATTATGGAACAGACAGACCATTAACTACTCATATGCAAGTTCAAATTAAAGCTAAAGAAGGTTAAATCATATCCATAGGAATCAAAATTTGATCTTGAGTCTATCCTCCCTGAATTTAAAAACCAATTTAGGAATAGGTTTGAAGCCTTGAACACTAATTAATAATACAGACATTAATGAATACAGACCAGATGAGCTGTGGGAAGATATCAAGAATATCATCTACGAAGAATGCAAAAGGTCATTAAGAAAATGGAAGAAGAAGAAAAGATCGAGGTGGATGTCAGAAGAGACTCTGAATATAGCACTATAGTGCCAAGAAGCCATAGCAAAGGGAAGAAAGCAAGAAGTTCAGGAGCTGAGCAGAAGATTTCAAAGGGCAGCTCAGAAGACAAGGCATAGTATTATAACGAAATGTGCAGGAACTGGAGTCAGAAATATCAAAGGGGCTGGACTCGCTCAGCATTTCTTAAGCTGAAGGAACTAAAGAACAAATTCAAGCCATGAGTTGCAATGCTTAAGGAGGCTATGGACAGAATACTGAATGATTCAGGGAACGTTAAAAGAAGATGGAAGGAGTATACTGAGTCCTTGTACCAAAAAGAAATGGCTGTCACAGAAGAATTTAAAGAAACAACATATGATCAAGAAGCAATGGTGATGAAGGAGGAAGTTCAGGCTGCTCTGAAGGACTTAGCAAAAAATAAAGCCCCAGGAATTCATGGAATATCATCTGACAAATTTCTACAGACAGATGCTGCCCTGAATGTGCTCACCAGGTTGTGCCAACAAATCTGGAGGACAACTACTTGGACAACTGACTGGAAGAGATCCATATTTATTCCCATTCCAAAAAAGGGTGACCTGACAGAGCGTGGAACTTACCAAACAGTAACACTCATATCACGCAGTGGCAAAATCATGCTGAAGATTATCCAGAAACAACTGAAACAGTACACTGACAGAGAACTACCAGAAATACAAACTGGGTTTGGAAGAGGTCGTGGTACTAGAGACATTATTGCCAATGTCAGATGAATCTTGGTAGAAAGCAAAGTGTACCAGAGAAATGTCTATCTTGGATTCCGGGAAGATGGCGGAGGTGGAGAGCACAGTGTGAAGAGCCAGAGGGATAGCAGCCTGCGTAGAGAGGATACCAGAGAGTACTTTACGCTCCACAGAG